AACAACGTGAAGCTCGATGACTGCGAAGACTATGAAATCATTTCATCGTGCTAAGAATTTTTCGAAAAATGCTTAAAAGAAGGTTAATAAAGCAAGGATGAAAGACTTTGATGGTTTAAAGTCGAAAACTGCGAAAATAATCGAAGTAATTAAGCAGAAAACCATTGTTATATTGTTACTGCGAATAAAAACTTGGTAGCCTTCTCTACATTGGCTGAAATATAGTGAAGATAAACGATTTTTTTGGTAGGTTATTTCTGAGACACTCTGTGTATCTGTCACATAATTCTGTTTTTTTTTTAATTAGACTTGTACTGATTCTTTTTTTTCTTCTATTGTTTTGAAATCAATGTAATTTATTTTCATTATTTAAATAGTGCATTGAATTTTTTTTAAACAAAAAAAATACGTTGAATCGATTCAATATCACCACGACAAATAGGACAATGATTTTGAATTTTCTTTGCACACGTTGCACAACAACACAAATGATTACATGGAGATATTAAACAGCATCGTTCACCTGATAAACAGATAACGCATTCCAATTGTTTTCGTAATTCTTCATATTCTTTTTGATTTATTTCATCATGATCTTGATTTAAAATGCCTTTACATGATTGTTCTGAATTAATTTGATTTTTAGATGTTGTTGAAAAAGTTAAACGATGTAAAACTTGTTCATTTCGTACTGCCAAGTGTTCGTGGGCCCAAACAAAAAAATTACATTTTCTAATAGTTTTCCAATTGGGACATCCAAAAAAATATGTATTGTTATTGACATTGTCTTTTTTTGATTGATAAAAAGTTGCCACATCACCACAATGACATCGAACTGATGGTAGACGACATGGAGCAATATATTCTTTTGAATGAATTTTTATTGTTGCTCTATATCAATCAATTTAAAATTAATCAAAAAAAAAGCATTTATTCAACTTACAAACACATGTCACAATCGAAAGACAATGGTAATGAATTTGTTTGATAATAATGTTCAAGATTTTCATCATGTAAATGAAATAAACAAACCATACTACCAGATTTGTAACGACCACAAACAAATATATTATCATTAGTATGTTTAGCCACAAATGAACAGAAGCATCTTACTGGATTTCGAATGTTATAGGCTGACATTGTTAGAGTACTACTCAGAATTTTTATTAATGAGAATAATGAAACTGTGATAAAAAGGCGGTAAATCACGTTAATTAAGAATACAATTCATGAGTATCTCTCTTATTAGTAAAATAAGAAATTTTTATATATGGTTTAAATCAATAGTACAATAGCTATCAATTGAGTCAAAATCCTTGTAACATCGAGAACAATGAAAAATCACATTGGATTGTTTTAATATCTGTTCTATAAGGTTAAAACTGAAGCCATGTGTAATGATCAAATTTTTGAGTATTTTATATATGAAAATTATTAAAATAATACAATGTGATTTTTAATTGCCATTGTAGTAGAAAAATACATAGCACATCTTTAACAGAAATTTTAGTTTATTCGACATTGATAAAATTTGTTTCGATATCTTTTCGGTATGTTTCCAAAAATTTATTTTTCATATCATCTTTTTGAATTCGAAAAGATACTTCAGCACCATCATGATCTTTTATCCAATGACCTTCTTTGTTTTTGATAGGATTTAATCGAAAAATACGAAAATAAGATTTTAAGGATGTCATTGTATGAAATCGACATTGATTTATCATACCGAAATCAACTTGATTCGACCAATCATATTTAAAATTAGAATTAATTACAACTTCATTTGTATCCCATACACAAATTAATTCATCATCTTTAATAATTTGTCTCATCATTAGATCAACTGTTGGTATCCATTTCATAAGAAAAACTTCATTACGACATTTATTAATCGCTTGTCGAATTGTCTTAGCAATAGAAATCAACGAGAATGGATTTGAAAAATCTGAAGTTAGCATTATTACAAATGAATTGGCTACATGACCAGCCGGAGCTATTGAATGTAGTATATCTCGATAATTAACAAGAATATAAGCACGTTGAAAATATTCGTTTGATATCTGTATCGAATTTCTGTTCATAGTGACAATCATATAAGCATTAAGTACATCATGAACTGTTACTTCATCTTTACCACTAGCACAGCTATGTAATTTCGTAAGTTGCATCGAAGAAAACGATATATTAAGTTGATCAGTCGTTGCTTGATCTCTAGCAATACTACTTACAACTATCTCACGTTTGTCGGTATTTCGATATGGTTTTAAGTTGGATAAGAGAGAGACATCAGCATCATCTTTAGTCCACAAATCTCTATCAAACAGAGGACGAGGTAGAAGAGGTTCTAAACCTTGATAGAGCCGACTAAGATCATTAAGAAAATGAATATTTGAAGCAGCATCACCAACTAGATGAGAGAAACTTGTTCCGAGTACATATTCATTACTACGAAGTAATCGAGTGACTTTCACACGAAGAAGAGATTCATCCATGGGCTTGTATTGTACAACATCAATGAAAGATTCACATATTGTCGTATCAGCAATAACAACAGGTAGATTAGGTCAACATTCGAGTTGATCGTTTTCGGTATAAGTGAACGGAATTGGTTGATCAGAAAATTCAATTAGATATTGATCATCATTGACTAAAACCCGACCAGCTAAAATCGGTCAAATCGATAATGTACGACTGAGAGCTTGTTTTAATCGATCGATGTCCAGTAATGGATTAAACAAAAATGTTATCAATACTTTCAAATATCAAGTCTGTACCAGTTAATGTTATTCGACGAGTATTTCCTGTCGGTGGACAAGGTATAATATGTGATGTCATGTTTACCATCAAAGGGTTTCTTACGAATGCTATTATATAAAATGTTCGAGATTGTCGAAATTTCAAATATTTTTACGAATCCATGAGTTGTAATTTCGTCAGAACATTGTCTTTTTGTTCTTATCTTTTTGCCTACGAAGAGTCACAAAATGTTAAAGAGGACAAGATAAGATATGCATAAGAAGAAGAGTGACAATTTATAGCAATTATAATTAAAAAAAAAAATGATTTCTGTCTTTTATCAGACATTTGCAAATTAAGTTTATTTCCATTTATTAAATTCATTCGAAATAGAAACTAAATCAAAAATATTCAAAAATAGGAAAAAAAACTTTTGTTTGTTCGCTGCTTGAATACTGAACTTTTTTGTTGTATATCATTATAAACCATCAGACAACCAGAAAAAGAAGGCCCTTGTCTATAGGCGTCAATTTTTTTCCGAAGTGTTCATGAGATGGAAACAAATAACAGAAGCAAAGCAAGAATATGAACTGTTTACATTCACAAACCATTCATGGTTAGTAATAATAGATCACACAAATGAAATAAACATATATATAGATTAAGGTAATTTAGTCAAACGATGCATTTCATAAAGTTCTTGTGTAATACTTTCAATTTTATTACACGATTGTACAATATCAATAGCTAATGAATCAATTTCTTCATAACTTCGTTTATTCAGTAATTTATTGATTAATATATGACGATTAGGAACTGTCAATCGAATAGCAGCATGTATTCTAAATAAAATAAAACAATGTATGTTTTTGCATTAAGAATTTGATTTGTTATATTTCCCTTGTATCTGATCGTTAGATAGTTATACATGCAGGTTTAATAAACGAGAAAAAAAATGCGTCAGCTTGTTGAGACTACTTACGATAAGTACCAATATACTAGTATCTTATTGAAGAAGAAAAATCAATCAATAAGTGATCGGTTGTCTCTAATATTAGAGTTGGAACTTGAAACATTAGCATAAAGGTTAAGGAATGCATGATGAACGACTTTTTTGCCATCAAAATGTTTGCTATAAAAAAAACCGTTATTACCGTATGTTCTTAACAACTCAATCGACTTTAGCATTACATTCCGAGGTGCAACTCTCGATAAAAATTGTCTCTCCTTTGGATCTTAGCCATCATAACTGCAAAAGGCTACCTATTGACGTTTGTATTTGTTCTTGACAAATAAATGATCAATTCTGAATATTTTCATATGTTACACATGCATATTCTATGATATTTCTTCATTCAAAAGTTAAAAGCAAAAAAAACACGTTTGAAGGTCTAAATTTGCCATTACTTTCACGTGCATGAAAAATACTCAAACAATTCAAAACTCGACAAGGAACGCTCATGAACACAAACTTTCAGTTATGAGTAAGATAATAGCTCAACTTCTAAACAAATTCTTCAGTACTTATTTTTGTTTTATTTAGTCGTTGACTCGCACTTTTTCGAGTCATCTTTCTTAACTGATATTTCTAATTATTTATGATTTATTAGATAATTTCCTTGAAACCACGGAATACATGACTATAATCTTCAATTCTGGTTCGGACAACTTTTTTCGCGAAGTCTCGGTTCTGCTCCCAGACATCTCTACTGTCAAACATAGTTGTAAAACCTTTAAAAAATGTATCAATGAAATTAAAATCATTCATACGTTTGTCTAACAGGCCATGAATGAAAATATCCAAGTGTTGATGAATAAGCATTCCAAGCAATTGATGCTGAACTTGCATCATCAGGTGCTGTACGCATTTGACTTAAAAAAGATGAAATAAAAGCAAGTGCTCGATGTAATCTTAATAATGTTCGACAACCATTTGGTAAAGTTTTTCCAGATTTACTATGTATTGTTGTTTCTTTTGTTTTAACACGTCCTATTTTAACTTCATAATCTATCATAGATTGTATAGTTTCATAATTAATTGGATCAATATGTTGATACTCTTTAAGAATAACTAATTTATTATTTAAATCTTTTATTGCCCATTCAAAAACAGGGCCAAGAGAACAAACAAAACTAAAGAAAAAAAAAATTATTTACAAGAGAATAATTTTTTTGTTGAACAAAAAAAAAAAATCTTACATGCATAATTCTTCATAAGCACGAATATATTCATTAAGAAAAAGTATATTATCTGGTTGAATACAATTAACAAAAGCATCTCGTACTTTTTTTAAATCAAATTGATGTGTATGATGAGTTGTTGGAATTTCAGATGATGTACTAATATTAGTATCTATATGACTGTGTGTTATTGGAGCAGATGCCATAGGTTATTTATATATATATATATGTATATGTATATCACAGATTTCAGTGTTTTAGAAAACAAAATGAAATATGTTATCTGAAAATGTATTAAACTAATATTATCAAATAAATCTGTTATATATATTCACAAGCAAAGAAATATAGCTTATATATGTGATTTTTTTTCAAAAAAAAAACCAGTTTCTTTTTTCTTATTTAATCATCATCCATTTTATCACCTGTATCCGATGATGCAATTGATTGCATGTCAATATCATCATCGTCTAATCCATTTGCAAATTCATTACTTGATGTTGAATTTTCAACAAGTTCTGATATTCGAATTGATGGACCATCAGATGAAAGTGATGATGATGATGGATTTGATAATGCTTGAGATAAGCTAAATAAACAAAAAAACAAAGAATTTTATAACAATGTTATTATGTTGTTTGGCTTGTTTCTTTTCACTATGCAAACAAAAAAGTAACAGAATTCACTTGAGTCATCTGACGTATGTCGACTATAATGGGAGAATTAACCAATACAAAATTATGATTCAGAAAAAGGGTTCTTTTTTCTTCCGTGTAAATTTGATAATAAAATATTCAGAGTAAATATTTGACATAGCTAAAGAAAAATACGATTTGACTATGACTCGGAATGTAATGATAATGATCAATCACTTCCAAACGAGCCTTCTCAAATGCACTCTTTCGATTTCAATGTTATTTTTTGTTTTCAGATACTACTTAGTATTCTAATAAAAATCCTAAAAACAATTGAATTTGACTGTTGTTCAAAACTTGTGAATTTTTTTATGGAAGCTCATCTAATTGAGATCTCTATATGTGCAAAGATTCAAACTAAAAGCCGAAAATACGATTATTCTAAAGACTTCAGGTTACACAGAGACCTCTAGAAAAATATACATATTAAAAATTCAATAGCTTAGTCAAATATCAATTGGAATCCAAATCCTTCTAGGACTATTTTTAGAATACTATGTAATATCTAAAGATAAAAACATAACAATTATACACAGATCGATTATCGTTATCATTCCATTGATAAATACTACTAAAGAAACACAGTGTCAAATATTAAGAAAATTCGATATTGTCACAAAGGTTTTGTTTATATGAATGTGTATTAAATGCAAGAAAAGATTGCAATGGTTCAAGATAATTTTTACATAAATCTCAGTTTGAACTAGTTGTTAAGCATTGTTAAGAAAATTCAAAAATCTAGACGAAATTTTTCACGTTCTGTACTCGTCTATGTCGACTTTAGAAATTCTCTATGGAAGTTTTATTAAATAAAAATGATGCCGAAATAATTTCACTTTCAATCAATTAAAATCTTCATAGAAAATATGAAGAATTAATCTAGATAACTTACGGAGTTGCAGTTGGTTCAACAATAAAATAAGCTGATTGTGATTGATGAATAGTTGAAAAATCATCGACATCTGGTTTTAATTCAGTTACTAATAAACTATTATTAGATTGATTTGATTGAGAATAACTTCTATCAAAATTAAAAAAATATTCATAATCATTATCAATACAAGAAAAATATCGATATTAAAATTTCTTTTTACCGTTTCATTGTTGGACTTCGTTTTCTTGCACTATCACATGGTGGTTCTTCAACTGTATAAGGTGTTGGTATTAATGGTATTTTAAAAAGATGATCATCATTTTCATATTTAATTTCATCAGATACAACAGAAGATAAAATTGTATTATCAACTAATTTGTCTTCTTCTTGTTCTTTAGATTTATCATCTGTTGTTACATTATCATTACTTAATTGAGCCGGATGAATTGGCATATATGGTACAATTTGCATCGTTAATTTTCTCCTAAATATATATACATATATTAAATTAATTCGGTAGAATTGAAGCAAGCAATCACGAGACCATCGAGAATACGAGACATTCGAAAAAATTTATTTTTGTGCATTCCATGTATCGATGTTCGAAACTAGTAACCTCAAAATTTTAGTGTCCAACAACCTCTCTTTCAAAAATCAGTCAATATTGACTTTTTATCTCTATCGTATATCAGATAGTTACAAGCTAAATTTTATATCCCCCCTGGAAAAAAATAGTTAGACTTAATTGTTTTACAAAAACAATTATATATTCTGATAGCAGCACGCGAAATTCTCTACGGTCCTAAATATGCACGTTTTGAATTGCATTGGTTCGCTCACATAAAAATTCAAGCATAATGAAAGCACATTCGTCGTCAGATTCTCCCGAAAATTTATTTTTCCTTTTTCTTTTCATACTTATTTTAATATAAGAACACGCTTTTACAAAAGTATATATTCTGAAAGCATATGAAATTCTCTATCATCTTATATTATATGGTTACAA